TGAGCAGAACCAGGCGTAGCCAGAGGGAGGAGAGGTTGATCTGTTTAGTGTCCGTCTCCTGCCAGCTTTCACTGGTCATTAAAAGTAGGTTGTTATCAGACTGTGCAGGGAGGACTACCCCACCAACAAGCACACTGCTGCGTCTTCAGGTAACAGCTCCTTATCTCTCACTGATTGCCTTCATGCTCCCAATCCGTCTGACGCTGGCATCTCAATCAGTCTTTAAATAATCTGCCTCTTCATGGAGCAGTGGATGGTCTGTCCGCTCCTGCTCTCCTGCACTCCCTTTCTCTTTCCCCCAGGCTCATTCTTAACATAAAAAATATACATTGAATATGTTTTAGGGAGAATATTATTTAACATATTGTTATTTTGCAGTTTAGGATTTTTTTTGAAAAAAGAAAAAATATTAAAAAAAAATATATATATTAAAATACTCACTATCTGCAACCCTGTATTTACAGTATATGTTTCTAAATGTGTTAAATTAACAACAGAAAGATGCAGCATATAATAGTAAACTGATCGCTTATGGAAATTCAATTAATAGGAACACAATTATAATTTCTGTTAAATTTGTCACCGTACATAGTCTTTTCTAACAACATTTAAAAAATACTTCCAGAAAAACAAAACGGATCCACACTCACCATGTATTATTTCAGTTTTCATTTATTTATTACCATTTCTCTTGGTAACATTAAAGGATCTTGAATTCATTTTACTTTGTGGAATTCCTGTTTCTGCTGTTCACAATATTATAGACATTTAAAAAATCAATGAACCAGAACAAGAAGTAAATTGCATCTCGCAGTTCTTGGCTTGAAGCCATTATCTGAGTGAGAATCAACTTTAGCTCAAGTTGTTGGAGTTGTTTAGCAGTACTCTGGGTTTGTGGTAAGACGAGCTGGCAAGTGCTGCTGCCAACAGCTGGCTGACATGTTAAACCAAACCTCCCACTCAACCTCCCACCCCAGGCCCAGTGAACAGGACCACAACCGCTGTCAAGTGTGCACTAGTTATCTTCCCTCCACTCTCACACTCACTGAGGGAGCAGAGCTAGTGAGCGGACTTATTCTGCATTAAACCTACTGTAAAGATGGAGATAATGAGCTGTGTGTGGGTGAGCGGGATTTTTGTTTTGACTGCACTGCAAAAGATTCCCAAACCCATAGAATTCAGTGCTTTTATTAACTCATACATATACATAACAGCACGACAGGGTTTGTCTCAGGTAATTAACTATTATTACTCACAGATCTTATTTATTTTTAATCTAAGAACACAATTTATCAATGAATGAATTAAGCCTTCATTACGGACTCAGGGTCCAACATCGACACAACAATGTGTGGTCAATAGGTACATTTTATTGAAATAACATAATTGTAAATTTATCCTCAAATAGCTAGAATAATAATAGTTCTAATTATTATAAATGTATTTGACAGTATTTCAATAGTAAATCATGGACAAATTACTAAATCCCACCCACACAATAATTCTAAAAGAGAAGATAAGAGAACCTTTATTTGTCCCCAATTTCAATGTTGCTGCACAGATACAATAGTATGAGCACACAAAAAGCATGGAGTGTAAATTACATACGACAGGATAAATGAAGTATGAATAGTAAATACTGCCATTTCAGTGGACATTCTGAAATTGCAGTATTTACTTTTTATAGATAAGATGACATTGCAGTTCTCATTGTACAATCTGACAGCAGCAGTATGGAAAGACCTGCAAAACCCTTCCTTCATACAGCAAGGGTGAATCAGTATGTCACTGGTGTATGTCCTGCAGGGGGTGACAGTCATGGTCCAGCATAGATATAGCTTGTCCAGGGTTCAGCAGAGTTGATAAAAATAGTAATGTAAGAAAAATATATTCATAACATAATTCAAAGTAATAATTAGCCAGATGGTTTCTATTGCAATGATAGCTAGAGCTTAAATCATATCACAATGCATAGAAAGAAAAACTCTCCACAATTGGAAATAAAATGTACAAATACATAATATTGCCCCAAAATATATTTTTCCACCGTTGATTTATTGAATTATATATCACATGAATTTATAGCGACAGTAGCTCAGTTGGTAGAGCATTGGCCTTAAGGCCAGAAGGTCGTGGGTTCAATTCCCACCTCTGCACCTTCTCCACCGACTCCCACTGATGACTGCTGTCGTTGTGTCCTTGGGCAAGACACTTAACCCCACTTTGCCCAAAAAGCCCCCACTGAAAGATCAAGGCTATGCTCACACTCAGAGAGCAGCCGTCCTCCTGTGGACTCACCACCTGCAGAGGGTCAGTGAGGGGCTGGTGCTATGAGACTTGGGTGGCATCTCTGATTGCCACCCCCCTGACCCAGAAATGGATTAAAGGGAAGAAAATGGATGGATGGATGAATTTATAGCTTGATACATGCTCAGTGGATCCTGCATGGTGGAGATGTTTGTTCATTTTACTTGGCAGCGTAGTTTTCGATCAGGCATCATTAGTAAATTCCTGGTTACAATGTTTGCATCGCTCTCTTCACACTCAGTGGCCTCATTGAACACATTTTATTTCACATACAGTAGTGGATGTTGTGTCCTATTCCAGTTGTACTTGATAATCCTTTTGCTTGACACTGGTGAGCAGTTGTCTCTTGCCCCGGGTTTCAGTACTAGTCGCAGTAGTCAGTGTACTTGTTGACTGCTCTGGCGCCTCAGAGTGCGAGTCGGATAAATGAAGGCTCCACCAGCATCACCACTTCACTGCTGATGTCATATGAGATTTTAGACTGTAGGTGACAACCAAGTAATAACTTCTCCCTCTCCCCGGCTCTGTCTTGTGGGCTCACAGACTCCCTCTCTTCCAGCCGGTACCGCCGAAGCAGCACATTCCCGATCCTGGGTTATCTGTCTCTGGCTGTCTGAGTGCGTCTCCAGCCCCTCTCTGTCTCTCCTCTCCCTCGGCCCGGCTCTCATCCATATAATGTGTGATATGTATCATTGGTTTAAGACTACTCCAGGCCGGCATGTTGACATTCCCCCGTGCCTCTTCATCTCTCCCCGCAGAGCTGAGTGCTGTTGAGTTGTGTTGATTAATGATATTGATTGCCCTGCACACCGCTTGACTTTCTGTGAATGAAAGGAAAGAGGGAGAGGGTAACAGACAAAACAGACTGAGATATTGGAAAGAGAGAAACATACTTTTGATACAGTGTTTTTTATCATACAAGGTCTGTTTCCAAGGAAACCATATCATAGACGAGTTGGACAATAAAGGTTGGTGAAACTTGAAGGAAGAAAGTAAAGACAGCTTTTAAGAAAGATTAATAATGTAGAAAACATTCGTGCAATCATCTGTAATTGCCAATGACTGGCTTAACTGTTTTTTCGTCTACAGCCCTCTTGAAATTAAATCATGTGGTTTAGTGGAAGAAATTGTAGTATTGATTTGGTTTGCGTGGCATTTATATGACATACAGAAATTGAATCCAAAATGTGTGGATGTGTATTTAATTGTATGTATTTCATGGCAACTCTTTTGTCTAGGCTTGTTTTAACGTGACATAAAAAGTCCCGTGTCACTTGCAGCGCCTTGTCAGTGTGTGGGACGGAGCATCACTGACACTAAAGACAGAATATCAATAACCTCTCAGGAAAGGCTTCTTGACTGCAGATAACTGGTGTCAATAGCAATGAGCAGTGTCAATACCTTTTAGAAGCACAATGTTTTCCCGTGAACTTGCTTTGGGCTGATTCACTGATATAGATTATGTAGATGATGAGGTGTTCCACTGGGAGAACTTTACAAATCTATCAAGGAACTGTACCCTTGGCTGCCATTGAATAAGTGAGCAGTTAATAGCTGTTGAGAATGTAACAGAATTATATTTATTGCTTGTGGTTTAGATTTCTCATGTTGTTGTTTCCTTTGTCCCAGGCCTGAGTGGACTCCTGGGGAGGGTCGCATCACCACATGTACTGATGTGTTTGCACGCTCCCATGAAGTCTCAAATTCCAGGGAGAAAATAGAAAGTTAGTGTGCAGTTTGTGGGCCACTGCACAAGATTTGAATTTAATCTGTTTTAACCACTGCATTAGAAATTAGAAATAATTAAATATAACTGGTCGGAATATGTGGGGGCCCAATGTTTCCAGTCAAACTGTTTGTAGTTGCACCTCTATACAGTCATTCTAAACTCAAGTACAATAGAATTATGTAAATCAGATACTTTGCCCTGTTTGGCTGAAGTCTTATCAAACCAGTTTTTGGAGACGGGGTTAACTGGAACACCTGCGTGCAGACTCCCTCAGAAAGGCCAACGTCCCAGTATTGATCACAAGACCTTCTCGCTGAGGCAGACTCTGTCTGATAACTGTGTACTAAACACTACTCTCATGAGAAAGAGATTATTTCTGACCCTTGCCACTGTTGATCCACACATTAGCTAATTTATGTCACAGTGATAAAAAAGTTGGTTGTGCAAATAAGTTCAGTTATAATCCTTGTGAAAACTATATAATCTCCAGTAATTGTATTAAGCCTATTTCTCTGTAAAGATATGTAAAAAAAAAAAAAAAAAAAAAAAAAAAGTTGTCACATTTTAGCCTTCAAATCGGTCAAATCCATACTACTTGAACCCCAAGTTTGGATAGTATCTCTTTAGAATGCATGTGCAAAATCAGCTGTTGTTTTGTCTTTGTAGTTATCCAACTAGTCTTTGTCTTTATTTTGATTAGTTATATCATTGACCTGCTCGTGGATTTCCATTTACAGACTTTAAAAATGTTTTCTTATGTAAGTGTAAATGAGGGACACAAAACATTCCTAAAGATAGTCATCAATAGCAGGATGCCAACAATACCTTCAAAAGCTGAACATGACATGGCCATAATCATAGTTTTTGTTTGGGTAGGCCTATCTAATAAAAACATAGAGCACATATCGGTGACGAAAGTTAATTGTATTTACTTGAAAAAACATGTGTTGTACTGCATTCAATCTCATGTTCTGTAGCGTCTGGCCTTCTCCTGTTCACCCAGCTGTCTTAACATGGGGTTGTGTTGACAGTAAACACAGCTGCAGGTCACAGGGGCCCTGCTCTGGTCGGAGACTGGGCTCACAGGGCCAGAGCGAGAGGCCCACTGTGGAACAGAATGTGTGCCTGGAGTGTAAAATTAGTGGGAAGCAGTCCCACTAGGGCTCTATGCTCAGATGGGGAGCACCATTTTATCTTGTAAACCAGTTTTGGAAATAATAAAGGTAGAATTAATGGACAGGCGCTCTAACCAATGGCTGGTTACTGAACGACCTACGTACATATGTCTTGTTTAATGTCACTGTCATTGCACGTCTGCATTTCACATACATTTGCCATAATTGTGGAATGGATGTATCTTTGAGGATCAATAGTTTGTGATAAATCATCTTTGACGTTATGTTTATAACAGATGACATTAGCATTGCTTACAGACACACGGACATTAAGAGTCTCTGACCTTTGTGCAGATGATGAATAGGTGGCCTGACCCCGTCTGCATGCTGCCGACCTGCTGGCAGGATGCATGTTGTTTTAAGTCTTCCGTCACCCCTTTAGCTTGCATTCTTCAATGTTTGTGAAAATCTATAGGTTTGTACTCAGGCTGTAATATACTATTATTTTAATAATAGAACAGTTAGCCGATTATTCTTTTGATTAATCGATTGGATTAAATCCCTTGAGGTCAGTGAATATGGGATCTTTCATATGTTCGACCAATAAAGAAAGCGACTTACACATAATTTTTAATTAAAACTTCTTTCTATTCACATATTAATTTAATTCTACACTTTTTATAGACTTTACCGAGTCATGAAACCTCTTATCTATTGTCTAATATGTCTATTTCAATAGTTGATGAAATAGTTGTGATTTATCAAATAACTTGTAGCAGCTCTATACCGCAAGTTTCCCAATGGTTTAGCTTTCAAAAACTCATGTACTCTGACTACACCTACTCAAACTAAGTCAGAAAATGGACATGTTCTTCTGTGGCCCCTAAGGACAGATCAAGCACAGCTGTGACTCGGGGGGTCATGAGGCTCGGAGGGGTCAGACGGAGCAGAGCTGGGGTCACAGGGCACTCCCAGCAGCCCTGGTGGTGTGAAAGGCCAAGGGTCAGAGTCTCACCACAACGGGCTGACTGGGTAGGGTTTCAGAAGGCGGCTGGGGCCAAGGAGAAGCACAGATTTATAGATACTGAAGCGAGCCCCAGTTCTCAGCCTGAGGTAATTACACAGAATATGAGCATGCCCATTGAGGCTTGGCCGCCATATTTCATTTCCACCCTTAGCCCCTGTAGACTCAAATAATACATGAGATAGCCAGGGAGAGATGGGAGGTAAAACTAAGGGGCAGAAAGGCAGAGAGAGGAAGATCAATTGATGCAAAGGAAGAAGAGAATGTGACAAATAGAAGGCAAAAGAGCTGAAGCAGGGAGAGATGAAAAGTGTAACAGAGGTTGGTGCAAGTGGAATGAGCACAAGGATGAGTAAAGGCAAAGGGTCATATTTGTTACTAAACAAAACTCCATTCTTAGCAACAAGACCTTTGACGTCAAATTCCAACAAGACAGGGAGAAGGTCACAGAGATCATCCCGGGGGAACGCCGGGAGCCGGAATGACACAGAGCCCGGACAGCAGGGAGTGACAGACTCGCGAGAGGAAAGGAGTACATGAACAGATGGAGTGAGGGAGGGTACTGAAAGGAAAGAAGCACCCAGAAATTAGATTAGTTTAGAAAGTGAAGTTGTGATGCAGCAGACTTGATATGCCGCTTGAAGCAGTTTCCCGTGAGAACTGGTTTGGGCCACCATGGGCTTAGCGAGACAGTTCAAACATATATAGCCCTCGTTGGAAGGTACAAATTAAATTAGGCTCGTCCACAAAGACGAGATGTTTTCCCCTTCTGTTCTGATGTCATGGTAGTGGGCGGTATGGAGTGGGGGTCGCACTGTTCTGGCCTGCATACATTTATCTTAGAGACCATTCATCTTCCAATAACCCCCACCAGCGCTCCATTTCGAGATCCTTCTGTCCCTTTTGCCTAACACTGCATCAAAGTCTCAGTGTGTGTAGTTAAACAAAAACACAAGCTTCAACAGATGAATTCAAGCGCAGGTCATAGTTCTTTCCTTTTCCTGTTCACGGCTCTTCGAAATGTGCTCTTTCCTACACTCTGGCCTCTCCCATTGCGGTTCTGTGGAACTGAAAAACACATTATTTTCTAACAATTGGAAGCGCCCATCCTTTTGTTGCTGACTTAACAATAACATAGCAGGTTTCATTGGAGATTATTACAGTAATTGCACCATAATTGCGTCAACTTTAGCCTTGGCTGCTGCCCACTTGCTGAGCGCATGCAGCCCCTGTCACACAGAGCTGTGGGTGACCTTATGCTGTGACGCACAAGGGTCTCTGTCTCTTTGCCTCTGGCGCTCTTACAACATTCCTCTACTGATTTGTTCCCTGATTTCTATATATGGACAGTAGAGTAGAGAACCAATTTTCATCTACTTTTTCAACACATTTTGGGTGCATTTTAACCAATGCTTCTCAAAGTGAGGGATGGGGGCCCTAAAAGGGGTGTGAGAAACTAAGCAGGGGAGATGATTTCAATACCTATTAGCACAAAAAAGTGATATTAGGCATTACTCAAATAAACAACTCTCCAATATGGTTTAAAAATTAAATGTTTTACTGTGCATCTTAATTACCATTGGGTGTCGACGATTGATTTTACGTATATTTTGGTGGACCACGACTGAAAAGTTTTAAAACCCACAGGTTTAAACCAACTACTGAACAAAACCTTAGGAAACACCTGTTGCCAGTAAAAAAATTACTAATTACTAATAATCTGTATTATTCCTGCTCTTTCTCCTTTCTGAATGAATGAATGTATACATTTTGCATATTGATTTGTTTGATAAAAGCTGTCCCTTTCCAAAAAGCTGTAAAATCTGTTACATTTTGCAATAGTGTCCAAAAACATTCTCCTGTTTACTTTTCTTTTCTCAACGCTATAATCCTACTCTACCTTAATGCTCCCTCCTCAGCATACTAAAGCACTAGTGTGTCACTGCAACAAGAGAGAGAGAAAAAATCCTTGAGAATCATACAAACACGCAATAAATCAATCCATTATTTACGAGTGAACTCATTCAGAAAGGAAGCATATGTAATCTACTCATCCATGCTGTGCGGATGCTGAGAGAAAAGAGGAGGAAAGGAAGACGAGTAGTGGGGTGTGCACAGGGACAAGGCAGGCGGCCAGCTGAGAACGAATTCTGCTTCTGTTGCTAACTCCCCGAAGAGAAGTGGGAACCAGTAAACAAACAAACGGAGTGAGAAAAGTGCTTCCTTCTTTAATGACAAAGGAAGCGAGAGAGAAGGAGGGAAGTCTTAGCCATCGCCCAGTATGTCAGCTGTCAGCCAGTCTCAATGCCCTCTGCCCTGTTCGTATGCAGGCCGGCAGCTACACAAAGACACAAAGAGGCATACACACAGATGGGTAAACAAAGCCACTGTTTACTATGTGTTTTTTTATTATGTTCCCAGAGATTAGCTGTTATTGATTTTTCCTCAAGTCAGAGTGGTGGCAAGTCGTCGTAACTGTTACCATTATCTTCCGAAACAAAATCTCGCCCCTCCACCACCTCTCCAAGCCTGTTACGCCTCCGTCACTTCCCATCACACTGCGTTTTACCTGAAGTATCCAGATGATTCCTTTGTGCTTCTTTGTCCAGAGCCTGCACGCCTATTCTTTAGGAGTTCAAATCTATTATTTGGGAAGCCTGGAGTTGAGCGCGAGAACTGCGTGCGCGTACATACCCACCAATGGGAAGTCGCACTCCTGGGGTCATCGCCTTTCAACCTTGGGGCGCGACTTCTGCCACAGCCGCTTGACAAATCACCCCACAAGACACAAAATAGATGCAGCAGGGCCCCAGCGTTTGATGCCTGCGCCTGTTCTTGGAACTCATGTATAATATTCTTATTTGGACCTGGGTTGACTGTCATATGCAGCCTTTGCTAAAGTGTGTATATGCTTTCAATGCATCCTCACTCATGAAAATCAATGTCTTTATAATGTTATTACATTGATTTTTAGGTATGAGCTACCTGTAAACAAACTGTACTGATGTGTATAAACATTGAATCAACTTTTAATAGTTAATAGACCAAATCATAAAAAGAACTAAAGCTTCAGATAAAAGCGAATACATGTTTATTTATTGACATTATAACATCTGGCTTTAGCAGAAAGATGTCTTTGTTTGTAATGTAATGTAAAAAACACAAAAAATGTTGTTATTTACAAATTGCAATTAAAAAAAATTGTACCACAGCTAATTTATTCAGTGACTCATGGCTTGGGACAGAGTTGTACTGTTTGCAAAGTCTAAAAGAGCCTGTAGTCCCACTGGATTTGAACAAGGAAGTCAGAAGAAGCGGGGACGAGGCAGTAGGGGGGAGACGATGGCGTAAAAGATGGGAGGAAAAAAAGAGACATTTGGTTTCTTTCATTTGGTGGACTATGATAAATGGCTTGGCCTTTAGCTGGTCGCTGCTCCTCTTGTGTCTCCCTGGGCCTCACTTGACAAGAGGGTCTTTGAGGGAGAACGGACCCCACAAATATTGCTCTTTGTCCCAGAGCAAGCATAGCCAAGACCTCAGTGCTCCAACTTTAATCAAGTAAAACCAGCAAAGCAAGAGTTGGCTTTAATGTCCAAGAGGCGTTTTTTGGTGGGCTGTGTGCAAAAAATGGCATTCAGGAGGTAAAGACGTACGACGGGGGAGTGCACGAGGCCTGAAAGCAAGTCAGCACACTGCATCACACTGGCACATCTTTCTATTATTCCTTTAACAACATTCACAGCTTTGCCTTAGGGGTACGTGGGTAGATTCTGGGGAAAATCTGAAGTCTTATAGACACCCCCAAAGGCACATTACAAACTGACTCAGCGATCAAAATAACTTGTGAAGATCACCACTAAAGTAAGGGAGGTCTCAGGCAGACAAAGGAGACTAAAATATGTTCTACTTTTTATTGTTAAGTGTGCATTTGTCACAGCTACATTATTCCTAATTGAATTTATTGCAACATTTGTGCATTCTAGAGCCATACAATATGTTTGGATTGGTTTCCATGCTAATCTTACAGTTAATGTATATCCAACTTGTGATTACAGAACATCAGGTGCTTTGCCCTTAAGCACGCAGAAAAAAATTATCTAATTTGAACCGTTGCAATGGAATTAATGGATTGCAAAAGCTGATTAACAATGTTGACAAAATATCTAAAACAGCAAAGGGAATAGTGTTATTGTCAAAGACTGAGGTTTATGGTAAATTAATTGTTTGTATAGAAGGCCTGCCGGCATTGGGGATATGGTAAAATTAATTAAAGTGCAAACTAAAACATAACAACAGGGGGGAAAGGCGTCATACTCATTAGATCATAATCACATATATACTGTGCAAGCATCTTTGACAGATTTATGAGAAAATGCTCTCAACAAAAGACAAAATCCTGTCAGAGCTCAGAAGATAAGCAGGGCCGGGTCTGGTTATCACTGTGATGGGAGACCTTTGGGAACGGTTGCGGTAGTAAAGTGCCAAACGGTTGTGTCCGCAGGCAAAACACTTCACCCACATTACTTAGTTCAATGGTCCTGACACCATTCCTAAATGAGCTGTGCGGCTGAAGGTTTTCATTCAGACCGAGCCGGACAACACTAGTCTCCATAAAAATAAAAAAAGGCTTTGGAGTTGAAGGAGCTTTAATTCTTTTGTCAACTCTTTAGTCATCAATGTCTCCGTCACCTATATCTGTCTGTTCTCTTTAGGAAAGTTGGATTCAGATTGGATTTATTCGTCTTGTGTGTTCTTGTGCTTAACTGTTCATGGGACACCTGCACCAATCCTCTGTTTGAGCATTTTCACACTCTCCTCATATGTTGGGTTAGGGCAAAACTCAGTGCCACACAGTGCCACAGTGCCATAATCCCCGCCCTTGCCCAGTGGCCCAGATTAAATCCATGCTTTGATCCACCCCCTAATCTGAGTTTACAGGCTCGGGGTTGAGGGCGGGTGCTGTACTCTGCCTGCCAGCTACATTCTGCTTGCTTTTTCTCTTCTTCTCTTGTCTGTCTACTTCCTTGCAGCCCCCCACTGCAGATCTGGCAATTGAAATCGCCTTTGAGTTGCTTAATACAAAAACGTACAGATATAGACCCTTTAATGCTTCTCATAGTCGGACATGATTTCAGTGACTCAATGCATCACTTCTATAGTGCTGTTATGGATGGTCGGAAAGACTGTGGGGCAGGACAATTGATGTCCCTGAGTGCAGAATGCAGTGTAGCAAACATTTGAGAAAATTAACTGTGCTGGACTTGGTCATCAGATAGAATTTTTTTAAGAATTTTATTTTTTGTTTTTTGATATTTTATTCTTGGACATGAATAAGATACACAGCTAACCTATTACAAATTGGGTGCAATATTATTATTATATTTTTTCAAGATTGGCCCATTGATGGCACTAGTTATGCTATTGTTATGACTATGAATGTTACCATATTTCATTGGATTTAATTAGATTTTAATTTCACTTTATTTGTTATTTTAACCCCTACCCACAATAATACAAACAAACATGGCTTCAAGTCATTTGATATGAAATGATCTGTATCTGTGCTTTTTGACATAACCAATATATCTCGCTTGAAGAGAATGGCAAACTCCTAAATCCTAAATATAGCATGTAGACGACGCCTAAAATATGTTTCCTTTCAAAATATACAGTCACA